CCTCCACTTCGCTCCCACCCCCTCCCCAGGCCTTCACCCCATTATTGACTGTGTCCATGGGTTATGCATATATGCATGTAACTCCTTTGGTTAATCTCTTCCCACCCTCCACCCCCCTTCCCTCTTCTGTCTGAAATATGATCGTCTATTTCATTTGTCAGGTTCTTTTGTTCATTAGCTTCTTCTTAAAGAAGATCCTTCAACATTTCATTTAGTGTTGGTCTGGTGGTGATGAACTCCTTTGGAGTCTCTTTTTTAATGTTAAAGTTCAGTAAAAGCTGTTGCATAAGTTCGATTGTTGTATTCAGCCACAGTGAGTAGGATGGAATAAATAAAAAGCAGGATAGTGGATTGTCAGTGGGCTGATCAGTCCTGTATGTGCTTACCAAGAAGAGCCTAAATTCCCATATTAATCCCCACCTTGCTGCTATGGTATGTAAATTTCAACCCCCAAAATTCATTTTTTACTTAAGTTAGCACCTTCCAAGACATTGTCTTTTTAATCTCTTGGAGAAAGATACACCTTAATGTTGTTTTCAGTCACTAACACCTTACTGTGAATTAATCCCATTTATTTCCCCTGGGGCTGCTGCTAATAGGTTATAAAATATTCTTGAAAATATGTGTTAAATGGAACATCTCAGTCACTCCCTCACACCCACACCTCCAATACTCAAGAGCCTGGTGGCTCAGGAAACCAAGCGGAGCACACTGAGGGCACCTCTGGGAATGTTGAAGTCAACTAAAATTTATACTCTCAAATCATCAACTATTATTTCTTTAATTCCATAATCCTAAAACAATTCAGCTAAATCATCTTCCCCCTTTTTTCTGTAGATTTCTCAGTTGAGACTCTGGAATGCCAACTCTCTTTCACTTGCTCTTTTGCTCCTAGTACATTTTTGATCAGATTTCTTAGCTGGATGCTAATTATGTCATTAGACTAGAGCAGTGTTATTTTGCTTATATAATGGCACAACCAGTGAAGCCAGTAGCTTTTACTCATATTGGGGGAGGGGTGCAGGAATAGGTAGAATGAGACAAGTGTCAGTTAAGTACAGCGCAGCTGCTAAAGGGAGATGGGTACATTTGAAGGGAGCCCCGGGAAAGCTTTGTGTATTTAGTTGCAATCCCAAGGCTTTCAGGAAATCCAACTTTCAACAGAATTTTAAAGCCTCTGTTGAAATAACATATTTCCTTTTCAACTATGCTAGAAAAAAATGGGCTTTCCTGTGACTGTTGAGTGAGCTCTTTTGAAAGAATTATGGATTTTGAAAGGACTGGGAGTCTGCTTTTACAGCTGCCAGTGGGATTAATGTATTCCAGCTATCAAGTTATTGCCTTTAAATTGATGACGGAGAGAATGTAGCACATAAATCAGTACGTTGTGAGTCCCTTGTGATCCTGCCATTTTCTCCCCCTTTAATTCAGGCCACTGTTTATACTAAAAATTTCCACTTCTAAAAAATAACCTTTTTCAAATAAGGAAATTCCTCCTTTTAGAAGACCTTGTATATTATAGAAATTCTGTTATTGTAAAGATAGGAGTTGGAAATTCAACCTTTTGTAATTTAAAATTAAAGACTGCCTCAGATTATACCAATGAATGTTACTAGGTATGTGGGAGTTGGGGAGGGAGATATTTTATTGTTACTTCTAAATCAAAGCACTTCTGACATCAAGATGTTCCTGGCTAAGGACATAATGCAGGTACTGTTCTTAAGACCCAGTCAGTTCCTAACTCAAAGAGAACTAGTTAGAACATTCTAGGTCAGCTGCCTGTTTTATGTTGGCAGGACTCATAAAATGCTCTTTTGGGTGCACACTTTCGGGAAATAATTTTTGGATAGTTTTAAATGACTTGCGTGTGTCTTCATGGTCCACAGAACTGCTCAAATGTTCTTATCAACTACACCCAAAAAAACATGTTCCCTTTTCCTTCTAGGAATTACAGATTAATTTATAAATATTGATATTTAGAATTGTTTAAGGCTGACTTTTAATTAGACTGTACTATAACCTTTCCAGAAAATGTCTATGCACAAGTTAAAGTGCTAAAAAGTTTTTCATTTTAGCTATTTCTGTACCCATTTGGTATTTGTTTTTCACTTTTCTCCCCACCCAGTGCATTCCCTTTTGAAGTCTGCATTTAATAGCATAGCTATAGAGAAGGAGAAGCTGAAGCAGATGGTTTCTGAGCAGGATCACAATAAAGGCCACAGCATGCAGATGGCACGGCTCCGACAGTCACTGTCTCAGGTAAACGAGAATGTGTGTTTCATGCTCATAACACATTCCCAACCTTGTATGGCACAAGATGGGAGTGGATTCAGTCTGTCAAGGGGTTGGCAAAATAATCTGTCACTCTCCCAAGACGTTGAGTGTCAGTATTAAATTTTATTACTTTTCTTCCATAAAATGTCAAGGTAAGAGCGAAATCAACCAAACTACTTGCAAATATATAATTGTTATTTTGGCTGATTGAATACTGTTAATGCCTCTCCATGATCATTTATAAGGCAGTCCCTGTTTAAAAAAAAGCATCATGCATTTCTACTTGGTTTACATATCTAAAATATGGTCAGGAATATAGTCAATCCAGTGTTAGAACAAAATCTGCTAGGTCTTCCATACTTAATATTTTCCCCACTTACAATACATTTTAGTCTGTTGAAAATGTCTGATTACTATTATCCTTTTTCCCCCTGATTTGCACTCTTAGGATCTCCTTCCTATTTAAGTTATGCTCCCTAAAGCTAGACTTCCATATTTCAATATATATTATATGTATAGTACGTATTACTGAATATATATTCATTATATAGTATTCAGTATATTTATTTTATGAATACTAATTAAATCCCACGTGTATCCAAGTTGAAATTTCTGATAAAAATCCTTTAAAGCTATGCCGATGCTTTTTTACACTGAGTACTTGCTCTGAAATGAATATTTTCTTCAGTCTATAAATGCACTTTTTAAAGTTTCTTTGAGAATTCAATGTCGTTATGTGATTTTTGCGTGAGAACTCAGTGTTCACATAAGCTATTGTTCACTTCCTGGTGCCTTGGATCAGAGTGAAGGAGCAAGCACACCCTGGGTAAGTGGTTTTCCGTGTGGGTCAGCTCCTGCTTGAGCACTTTCCCTCAGTCCCTAGGAATTAGACTGAAACCGTTTGCCGTGTTTTATGTACCTGAACTGTCGGCTTGTTTTCCATGTGGAGTTTCATGTTATTGAGCGCTGTTACCGGGACCGTGCTTTCTGCGTTCAGTGAAGGTGAAACACTGCCAGCGACGGTGCATACGCTGCTTCCAGGGCAAAGCCAGGGCCCCGGGAGCATGAGCGTGGGAAGCGGCAGCTGTGCGCCAGGCTGCAGAGGGTGTTCCTCCTCAGCGCGTTAATGGTTTTCCCGGACTGGTCTCATGTCGTGCATTTAACAAACCCATGACATGAGGCGTGTTAATTGACCTTCTAAATCATGATTCTGAAAGTGCCATGAGTCAGAAGGTCACAGTAGCAGTGAGGTAAACATGTCCGTGTCACCTTGAGAATATTAACTGCACTCTTGCCCCCCTACATGCTGCAGTGTTTCCTTCAGCTCTTTCCTGGGGCAGGCCTAGTAATTTAAGATAAGCTTGTACTGAGAAAAGCAAGGAAACGTGGTGGTTTTGTGCTGCTTGCTTGCTTTTCCTTGCTTGTTGGTAAGACAGAGAATGGTAAATAGAGGTCCGGGTGGGGCGTCTGGTGAGATTAGACATGATGAGGAAGAGAGAGTTTTCAGGTTACTCATTTGTTTATTTCTTTAGTCATCGCATGTCATTCACCTGACCACCTATGAGGCACGGGGCAAGCTGGAGAAGAGCAACATGGAGTAGCCTGGCCACGTTCGTTAGAATGACAGGAGCAGTGTTTATCAGGAGGCAGGGAAACACACCGCGCTGTAGTCCCTTCAGACTGGCACGTGGGTGGTGCCGATTCCCAGGGCTCTAGCCATTCAGAGGGGTAGACGAGCTCTGGGCTGTGAGCAGGGCCGAAGATCAGGAGGAATCGAGCCTGAGTTAGGCCTGCGTAGACGGCAGGGAAGGACCTGATGTTAACATGTCAAAAGCAAAATAAAGCAAAATCATATTAACTTTGCATCCTTTTGGTTAAATATTTCCTTCTCTTCTCAAAACATATATATTTACATCTAGACATAGAGCCTCAATAGATTTTTGTTGGGCTTTTTGGGAGGCGGTTATATTTTTTAACCAAAAAGTTCAATTTTATTCTCAAAAGATGTAAAAATAACTTGGTACTATAAAGATAGTTCTATCCTCTTCATTAGAGAATTCGGTGTTTCCAGCTGTATATTATGGCAGCATTTGGCTATGTTCACGCTCTTGTTTCTGTCTACACCTTCTCATTGCACCAGCCTTACTCCTATCATCTCTGAGGCTGGTCTCTCTTTTGCAGCTCACTATAGCCTTTGCTTAGGCATTTAAGTTTACTGTCAGTTCACTTTTTAAAGATTCACTCTCCATGGTTAGACCATGGAGAGGTATCTGGAGAATGGCAGTTAATTCATAATGGCTAAAACATGGGGTGATCAGGAAGAATTAGTCTAGGAGTAGTAAGTTAAGCTGGAAGGAATCAGCACATTAAGGATCACACGAAGGAGTTTAAATTTATCGTATCAGTGTTGGGGAGGCCTTAATTTTAACTAATGAGTGATAATTTCAGAAGTTAGAAATATTGTTACATATTTCTGTATATTAGAAAGATCACTGGTACAGTATGGAGGATAAATGGAATTAAGGCAAAACTAGTTGGGCAGACTGTTTAAGATATTTGAGATAATGCAGGCCTGAACTAAGGAAGTGACAGCGTTGGTGGAAGGAGGGGACTGGTTTCAAAGACACTGAGAGGGGAGAGTCAGCATGGTTTGGAGGTCAACTGAATATTCTTTCCCCAAGAGAGGGACTATGAGAGGAACTGATTCAGCAAGGGTAAATATGAGTGGTTTTTGTGGAGGTTGATGTGACCGTGAGACATCTAACAGGCAATTACGTATGTAGATCTGGGGCTCAGGGGAGTGTTTTGGGCCAGAGGGAAAGAAGTGGATACTCCATTATGTCACTGAAGTTATAGATGTTGATAAATTGTGTTTTCAGTCAGAATAAGAGAAGTCGATGGTGGTTCCATAGAGAACATTAATAGTTAGAGGACAGGCTGGAAAAAAAAAAAAAAAAAAAAGGATTCTTTGATGGAGACTCGGGGGAGGCAGCTGAAGAATCTAGATAGTGATGACCGTTGAGATCAAGGGTAAAGCGTTCTGACAGTGTCAAGAAGGAAATAGTTAGCAGAGTCTGGTTTAGCAGCAAATAATGTATAGGCTGAAAGCAAATAAGGAGACATTGAAGGTAGGAAACAATTCACTGATAGAGCCATCAGTTGTTGGCCAACTCTATTTTTATTGCCCCTCTTTTAACATAATACTTAGTATTGAACAAGATATTAAAGAGCTGGGTGCGCTGAGACAATTCTGAATGTTTTATATTAATAGAACTTGCCTGACCAGGCATGGCTCAGCGGTTGAGCGTTGACCTAGGATCCAGGCAATCGGGGTTCGATTCCCGGTCAGGGCACATGCCCAGATTGTGGGCTCCATCAGTGATTCTCTCATCATTGATGTTTCTATCTCTCGCTCCCTCTCCTTTCCTCTCTCTGAAATCAATAAAGATATATTTAAAAAAAAAATAGAACATAACGTTATAGCGGTGTTAGGTGCCTGGAGACATCTTTGATCCATATTCAAGTGTCATCAGTTCAACCTCCAGGTATTTGTTTCATGACTGGTTAGCAAGTCACATCTGCCCCAGACAGGGAAGGAGAGACAGGCTGTGTTTAAATAACTTCTTATACAAGTCTAACATTTTAAAAGTGTACTTTTTATTTGATGTAAGTCCTATTTGATAAATGTCTGATGATTAAAACGCTGCTTTCCAGTAAAGCTTTCTAAGTATACCAACTTGGCAAATTCCATTGTCCTTTTAGAAGGCACATAGCATATAAAATACATGAAATTAGCATTCCTCACTACATGCTCAGCATAAATTGCTACATGCCTTGGGCATGTAATAATTTGCAAGGCTTAACAGTATAATGAATTCCTCTCCTGAAGTGATATTTCTTCCCTGATCTATATGGACACAAAGACATCATAATTCTGTTATTTTACCTCCATGAAACTTGAAAAGTAACTTTCACACCTGAGAGGCAGTATGGATTCTGGATTGTAGCCTATAGGACAGAGCATTTTATGTGACATCCATCCCTTTATAAATTACTTTATTTCACAACAGCTATAATTTTATGTTTCATTGGAAGTAAAACCCTGAATACTAAAATCAAATAGTATTCATAAGACTAAGGAAACCTCCACACTCCAGATTACTATAATACTAAAAGATTCAACTTAACTTGAGTCTGTCTTCAATACATTACACTTTGTCACTGTTACTAATGTGATTTCTGGCCCCAGAATTTGTACACAGCTTGTGCTAAATGCAGTGGGTGTTGAGTCCATACAAATGTGAGCAGCAGAATATGATCCTTGTATTCCATCTAGAATAACCGTATTTCATTAAATCAATACACCATCAACTGTTAGATGTACCATCGTTTTGTGCATTACTAAGAAAGAAAAAAACTACCATCAGTTAAAGTGACGCGGTGCTTCAGAGGTGTTAAATGTGGGGGAAAGTGTGCATCTTAGAGTTAGTGGAATGTGGTGTGTATGGGAATGTAAACACAAATTTGGCTGAAGGCACAGAGTAGCATAATTAAAATCCCAATCATACAACTTACTATCCTTCCTATCTATAGCATTCACATACCCCAAATAAATATTTAGTGTTGGGATAAAAGTTCCATATATATTTGTTTGTTCCTGAATTCAGCAGTTTCCTGAGACTTGGCCAAATTTGTTCTGTACAAAGATACTCTTCATAGAATCTTTTACATCTCTTTTTAGCTGTACACTAAATTCAAATTAATATCAATTTGGACATGATTTGGCAATATTTATTAAGGTCTTAAAAAGATCTTATCCTTTGACCCTTTGGTCCATGGCCGATATGTGCAGTCTAAGGAGGTAAAACTGAATGTAGAAAACAATTATGCAGTTAAACATTCATGGCAGCTTTATTTATTCTAGTAAAATTCAGTAATAGCCTAAGTGCCGATAATAGGAAATAATCGCTTATTATGCAACTATTAAAATCATATTTGCGAAGAGTTTGCAACATAAAGTAAATGTTTATGCACAAAGAATAAGTGGCAGACATAGCATGTGAAGTACGCACCCATTAAATAATGTGAAAAATGCATAGGGAAAAAAATATACCAAGCTACCCATGGTTGGTTGATAGAGCACTAAGATATGAATTGTAAAAAATATTTTCCTACTTTCTGCATTTTCCAAACATTCTATTTTTAAATTGAAAAAACGAGATTTTAAAGAGATATCCAGGAGTTGATCCCGTAGTCATTCTCTCATTCCTTTTGGACCAGTTTTGCTCTTACCAAAGGGTTTAAGTCTGACGATTCCACCTTGCCCTGTGTTTTGTACCCGTCTCCAGCCATCAGGCTTCCGTCCGTGCTGCCTTCGCAGAACCCACGGTTCCATTCAGTGACGTGTATATGCCAGAGTCACACCCAGCCTAAGGCAGACTCTCACGCGTCGCCTGCCTGGGTGGGTGAATGGTAGTTCATAACCAGAGAGATGGGATTGGGACAGTTGATTCTGGCTCGGATCATGGTAACTTGAGGATGGCAACTTCTTTTATAACTTGGGAAGGAACTGTGTGTTTCTTGGATATATTAGAGTTGAATGTGTGAGAGAGACATGAGGTGTTGGGGAAATGGGCATCATCATGTGGAGCGCTTTCAGTGCCGGCCAAGTTCACTGACAAAAGCAGGTAGTGGGAGTAAGCTTAGAACCTGCCTGGTGAAGAATCTAGGCAGAGTGCCCGAGCCTCCCTTTTAGGCCTTCGGTCCCACCTGCCGCGAGTGGGCAAGGTTATTACCGTCACGTCCCCACAGCTTTTCTTGCTCATTGGCTGATGCGAGCGGCTGGTGACCTGCCTCCTTTTCCCTTGTTTCATCACTGTTCAGGCTCCTTGGGCGCATTCCGTACATTGCTCCTGCCGTTACCTGCGCTCTTCCGTGTTAATTATCATCAATAGCATCATTACTCTGAAAAGACCTGTATTCCTCAATGTTCCCAAGGCTCCCATGATACCACTACAAAGAAAATAGTTGAGTTTCAGGGGAAGAAATGATAAGTGTGGTCCTGAGCACTCTCTGAGAGCTCTACACCACAAAGCTGGTTGGTTGTAGCAAACTTTGGAAACAGTTTGAATGATCAAGGCAAAAGGAGGCGCCACCCGGGAAGACGCACAGAAATGGGCTGTTGCATGCTCAGTTGTATGCTCACACTTTCTACCATTGGGGTTGTCAGAGTTGGAACAGTATCTATTTCCATGCATTTTGGTGTAACTTTTTTCTACCACTGCATATATATTAATAAAATATTCCTTTAAAATTTTAGCTCATACCCTATGGATATTAATGGGGAGAGGTTACCACGTGTGCCTTCGCATACACCTGTAGACAGGATTATATTCGATGAATATTGGACAAGATGAGCGTTTATGAGAATTTAACTTTTTTAAATAGCCAGAGCAAACAATTCTACACTCTCCTTACAAACGGCAAACCTGTGTTTAAAACTCCCACCCTGAGGAAAATCATTGTTTAACCTTGCCCTTGAGTTTTTGTGGGGTTGTTTCATTTAACTCTGTTCCCCTGGCAGCAGAGGATGCAGTCTCTTTGAGGGAACCATTAGTTGAGGTTTGTATGAAACCCTGAAATAAAGACTGATTCTGCAAATAAAACCATCAAGGCCTCCAACTTCCAAAACAGCAAAATACACCTGGTTCCAATCATTTCAGTAGCTAAAACACTTCCAATATATACTTTGGACAGAGAAATGATGAAAGAACAGATAAGCATATGTGTAGTGATAGCAAAGGATAGGAATAATGCAGTTTTGTTTTGTTTTTTTCCAAATTCCAAGTACTTGAGATTTTGCTCCAAGAAAAATCATCCTGAGCACTTTTGTAGAATGTAAAGATACTAGATTTCTTCCTTTGAAGTACCTGGTTTATTTATTAAAACTGGACACATATATCCACCTTTAATCCATCAATGCCTAACCGCCCACCAGACCAAGTATGTTGTGTTTTACACATATTTTACGAACTGGATCAAAGACTATACAAAAGCCAAAAGCTATGAGTGAACAATTGTCTTCTCAGAAAGCAGAGCTGGATTTAAGGGAGAGAGGAGAGACTGTCCTGTACTGCATACTCAAGGACCCTGCACTGCACCATGCAGGTGTGACGTTAGCCACTGTAATTATCCCGGGTATTTTACTAGGTACCGAGTTATAATTAGGATACGACATTTGTATATATCTTGGTTTACTGTATTCATTGGCTCTATATGAAGAAAGGCAAAATGCCCATTCCCTGGGGCAGATGTCCTGACATTTATCTTCAGAATGTCCTGACATTTATCTTCCACTCTGCAACATTCACTTCCATCTCCTCATTGCTGAGAAGGAAAGGAGCTGTCCAGCTTTTCACTGAGCCTTGTTCTTGAAACTTGATGTGATTCCAGTAGCTACATGTCTCATGTAAATGGAACATGGTCCGCTGCATCGGTGTGATGCGTGCACCTTTGTCCACAGGGCTTCCGTACGGAGCCATGCTCTGCACACTAAACTCTTCTAGCAGGTGGTGTTTTACTGGTGCTGGAAGCAATGGGATGCAGACAACTTGCAGTTAGTTTCCTTTCTGTGCTCTGTTCCTCATTATGTTTGTTGATGTCTCCACTGTTGCGTGAAGGCACCTTTTGGTCTGCACTCAAGTTAGTTCTGCCGCACTGCCATGTATTATGTGCTCCTGAAAAATGAAAATACAACTATTTTCTTTCACCTAACTAAAAAATAATTCTCTAAAATATAAAGCCAATTCATTGTTCATTCCAGTTGCAAATAATTTTTAAGAGAACTATCTGGCTTTGAAACAGCTCCCAAACTTTAGAAACTGGAACAACAAAAAAATGAAAGAATTAATAGCTTTTATCCCAGGGTGTAAAATGTAATATATATGTGGTGGTAGATGGGGCTTGGATGTAATGGGCCTGGCCTAAGGGAGAGAAAATTTCGTGAATTATTTTTGTGAAGTCCATGAACTCTTTCAACCCACTCACCTACTGAGTAGTAGTCTTATATTTAAAAAAAAAAAAAAAAAAAAGAATACCTTAATTCTGAGCCATTTATTTCCTTTTTACCAGTCTGTCTTATGATGACTCCAAAAGTTACAGCTAAGAACATCATAGTCTTTGTTGTCTAAAATGTACCTGTGTGCTTGTTCTGTTTTATGCTTGCTTATTAACTTGAAATTACATGTGCGGTTTCTGTTATTTTAAGGCCCTCAACCAGAATGCTGAACTAAGGAGTCGGTTGAGCAGAATACACTCAGAATCTATTATTTGTGATCAGGTTGTCAGTGTAAATATTATTCCTAGCCCTGATGAGGTAAGGCTCATTTTTAATAGATATAGAGTACTTATTTTATAGCATCTAAATCTACTGCATATTTTGTTTATTTTTATACAATTCTTTCACTGTTAATAAGATTCCCTGCATAAATATTTGTGTTGCCGACAGCTTGGTGTTCTTTGGAGTGAAGGATGTACATGAGCTTGACATTCTTGGTGATCAGGGTCTATTTTTATCTATTCCTACGCTCACTGGATGCCATTGCATATTTAGTTTCTGTATACTCCAGCTGGTGAATTTTCTCTCTGTCTCAGTCTGCATTTGAAATGGTCATATTATGAAATGGCCCATGGAATGTTTTTTTTAAAAAAAAAACATTTTTAGCTGAGAAAGTGCTAAATAAGCGTTTTCTTAAGGCTTATTTTAAAAGCCCTATCTAAGCAGTCATCTGACCTTTCTAAGATAATACTAATGGTGCTGCTGCAGTTGCTGCTGCTGCTGATAATAATTAATAGCTGACGTATCAAGTGAATGCTTATTATGTGCTGGGCATGGTGCTAATCCCTTCACATGTGTTATCTCGTTTGACACTCCCACCGACCCTCTGAGGTAGGTGCTATTTTATTCCTTTTTTAGAAGAATTTTTGAAGAAATGGTAAAAGGATAGGAGAACATTCAGTATTTTGCTAAACTTCAGTGTGTAATTCTTTTTATAACCCTTTATAAAATCGTTTTATCGCCATGAGAATTAACACTTTTTATTAGTGATACTAGAGCTTTAGATACATTCATGCATATAACAGGGTGAGAGTTTTAACTAATACTAAACTTATATTTGCACCAAAAACACATTTTACTAGAAATCTGCCATCCAACTGCCTAGAAATATCATCTCAGGGAAGCTTCTCTTTAAGTTGCCCACCTGCCTGGGTCCCATGATCTCTGATGACACTAATGCTCCCTCCGCTGCCCGGAATCTAGAAGCATTTCTAAAACTTCATCATTCAAATATTAGTTAACAGTCTCACTTTGAGTCTTTTTTAAACCTTAAATGTGTACTAGGTAGAATATATATATGTTATAGTTTTTTTACATATTTTTTACTGAAACTTAAATATCTTCCTGGAGAACTATACTTATCACTTACTGAACAAAAATACAGTTTGAAATAAGGTTTAATACTCTAGTCATGTTTCCTTGACTAAAATTCATGATCTAGTTGGAAAATGACTTTTATATATTCTGTCTTAAAAATTAGTCTTGTAGATTATTTTCTTAGAATATCTATAGTGGTTTCTACAAATACTTCTTGAGGTTTAGTATACTAGTTAGAATATAGCTAGTAAGAGCAGACCTAAATATATGACAGTGAACTCATCTCCACAATCAGCTCAGGGTATTGATAGGAACCCAACTTGTTAAATTCCACTTAATATCAATTAAGCATAAACTTAAAACCAAGTTATGGTATCAGCACCTTTCAACTATGCCTTTTAGATTCTTTAGACATATTGGAAGGAAATTTATGCAGTCATTACTAGTTGCAAGTAAAAATGACTTGTGGTCATCACTCTTTTAACATATGGTGTGAAATTCTCTAGAAATCTGGCTAGCACATCATGGTCTAATTTGAACAAATAGCTGTTCTTTGCACCAATAATGATTGCACCATATGCTTCTCTCTTCTGTAGGCTGGTGAGCAAATCCATGTCAGTCTCCCTCTGTCACAGCAAGTAGCAAATGAGAGCCGCCTCTCCATGTCAGAGTCTGTCTCTGAGTTCTTTGATGCCCAAGAGGTGCTCCTCTCTGCAAGCTCGTCAGAGAATGAGGTAAGGTTCCTTGATGTGTCAACCCCAACTGCTTCTGACTGTGAGTTTGGGTTAAAGAAAATAAGACTATGTAACTTTTTAAAAAACATTTTAGTAAGATATCCAAATTATAACAAAGCCAAAAATATAAAGCCTACATTAGTTCCCATTCACTGAGCACTTAACACTTCTGAACATCAACTTATGACTTAAATTTGATAAATAAAAGGAAAGAATCAAGCATTTATTCTGATTTTCTTGTATGATTCATATTTAGGGTAAACAAATAGTTGACAACAGAGTATTATATAGAAGGAGACTAGTTAATCAATGTAGAAAGAATGAGAGAATTTGAAATACATCATTCATGCTTGTACATGTATGTGTGTGTGCATATTATATAATATATATAAAAATATATTTGCCAGAGACATGAATTTGAACTCAGAAGGTAATGCGTAGCATACCTAGTTGGGTAATTAGAGGTTTTGGAGGTTACCTCTGGGGATTGCTTTTCCTGCTCATGAGTCTTGGCAAGGTCTTGGAAACAAGGAACCTCTTATTTGGTCAGGTTGCAGAAATGTATTCTTTTACTGAAATTTAGTCAAGTAGGCTTTTTTCTTCTTTTTTTTCCCCATGGGAGAAGCAGCCGAAAGTTGTCCCACACAGTTGATTAGGAATTTCATCATTTGAGATTGCAAATCTGTACTAAATTTTGACGGAAAGGAAACAACATAGTTGCTAAATGTTATTTTTATATGCATAGAAAATAAAATAGATTGGAAGGAAACATTCTGACTAGTAGTAGTTGTTTTTGAATGTTTGGAATTACAAGTGATTTTAGAAACATAAATACATAGAAAAGAGAAAGGAATAATGAACATATATATCACTTTTCTAATGGAGGAGAGGTAAATAGAATTCTTGTATCAGGCACTAAATTTGTTAGCACAGCAAACCATGCACCTGCCTCTCAGATCCCTAGTCGGGTATTAACAGATTCACAGACTCCCATTCACAACCGAAGTATTCATTTAATTATTCATAATGATAATTGATGCTATCAGACAGACAAAATAATCATGCTTGCTGATTAGTGTGTCTTTCCCTGTAGGCAAATCTGCATGGGAAGCCTAATTGTAGTCAGGAGGTTGTTTGGTGAGCAAGGACAGAACAGGAGCAGAAGTGAGTTGAGTGAACTCGAGGCCAGGAGGGCCAGGATATAATAACTTCAGCCTTTCGTCTCCTTTATGGGGATACTCTGCCACATGGGTGGGGTTATTTGTGTCTATGAGCCAGTCTCTGCACCCCTAGGGACCACCATGCTGGAGACTTGCTACCAGCATTTTCTTTTCTGACTCTTTCCTGAGCTCCCATTGCTGACCAATCCTTCATCCTATTTCAGTCAGATTACAGTCAAACTCTGTTATCTGGGCTCTGACCCATCATCTGATGACTATAGCTTATGTCTTAGAAAGTGACCTATTTCCATTTCCAAGTTCTGGGCATACCCAGCTGGGAGTCCAGTTGCCACTTGCACCAGACAAAGGCAATAGAAATGAAGACGTGAGCCAGGCTATTGCACCAGTCCAAGCAAGAGGGTGGTGCTGGCCTGGCCGGGTGACTCAGTTGGTTGGAGCATTGTCCCGTGCACCAAAAGGTTTCGGGTTTCACTCCCAGTCAGGGCACATACCTAGATTGCTGGTTTGATCCCTGGCTGGGAGATAACCAGTCCATGTTTCTCTCTCACATCGATATTTCCCTCTCTCACTCCCTCTCTCTCTAAAAATCATTAAAAACATATCCTCAGGTGAGAATTATTTAAAAAAAAAAAAAAGATGATGGTGCTTCTCCCAGGGAAAGAGTGAACCTAATGGCAGAGGGAGGGACAAGGGAGTAGAGGGCAGAGGGCCATGGAGATATGTCCACTTTGAGACATTGGGAGCTTATCAGATTTCTCAGTGGCATTACCTTGCGAGCATTTGGATATTCAAGTCTAAAGCTCAAAGAGAAAGCAGGTCTGAAGAAAGAGCAAGAGCCAGCCCCGGATCCATATAACCAGATGCCTGTGAGACATCACCGCCTGGGCGCTCTGCAGAACCTCTAGAACCTCTAATTCAGCATGTCGAAAACCAGTTAGTCAACAAACCACCCCCCCCCACCAAGGAAAAACACAGACCTAGCCATACGCCTCGTATTGCTCATCTAGGTACTCTCCTACCCAGGTGTTCACATCAAATACCTGGCTATTTTCCTTCACTCCTCTGCCTACTACACCGCCACCCACATTGACTCAGTCATCAGTTTCTATAACTTCTGTCACCCAGATACTCTCAGAGCCATGCATTTTCCTGCAGCTGCCCTGCCCCTACTCTAGTTCAGTCCTTTGTCATCTCCCCACTTCGGTTACCCTATCAATCCCATAACTGGTTTTCCCACCTCCCTTCTTGCCCCCCCTAATCTGTTCTTCACTGGGTAGCCTGATTAATCTTTCTAAAGTGCAAATCTGATCATGTTCCCATTCCCCAGTGTCCTCAGGAACCATCTAAACTCCTTAGCTAGCATACGAAGACCCAGATACACTGATCTCTGCTCTCAGCTGCAGCCTCCTGCAGCCTCTATTCTTCTGGAGCCCTCCAGAGGGCAAACGAGTGATTCCTAGGGCTGCTGGACACCCCATGCCCTGCAGACCACACTGGGGGAAACTGAACCCCCACCTTGTCCCTGTGCTGGTATCTTACAGGTTTTCATAAAGTAACTGTTTTTACTTTACTCCTGTCTTTCCTTTACTCAGTCTTACGTATTTGAAGAGTCTAGACCAGGAGATGAGCCCAAGTGACAGACACCATGATGTTCTCAGAGTCGCCCCTCCCCTTGAGCTGAGACTGTTACTGAGTCCGCCCCACCTGCCCACCTGCCAGGTCTCTGAGTTCCCTCGTGATGAGACCCCCGGAAGGCTCCTCAAGGCTTCACAGCAGCAGCTTGGCCAGCCCGCCTGGCTGGCTCACTTGCATGTGGGGATCCCGGCAGCAGCTGCCGGGGAAGATCCGGCTGCAGATTCTGCGCTGCAGCTGCCAAAGGAGTTGGGCTCTGCACTTGCCTTCCAGCCTGGCCGGACCACTCCTCCCAGAGAGCCGCGTGTTCAAATCCCTCACTCGCTTCAGCCCTTTACCCACAAGTCACCTTTAGAGAAGCCTGTCCAGCTGCCCTAGCTACAGGGTAGAGCTACCCTTTCTTCCTCTCTCCTGACTTTTCATATCCCTCTCGTTGTTTTATTTTTTTTCTTAATGCTTTTCACTGTCTAACAAAATGTATGTTTCAGATATTTCACTTGTTTCTTGTGCCTCTTCCTCACTAAATGTGCCCCCAGCACTAGGACAGTTCCAGTAAGCCCAGAGCAGGTACTCAATAAATATTTGCTAACTGGAGGAAGGAAGGAATGTTTTGAGCACCCCAACACGTGATTAATCTGAGAAACACCTGACCATTAGCTGTCTTACATTGACATTTTCCATAACTGAGAGAAAAATCCTCCCTATCTGATATCTACCAAGGCAGGCACATCAATTAATGAATGCGGGACTTCTTTTTTTTAAAAAATGCTCTTTTTGATCCACTCATTGCCTCTGCTTTTAAACTACTTTTGCAATGCTACATGCCTGGTTACATTTAGAAGAAAAAGATTTCCTGAACTTTTTTGAATCCCTAAACCCTTAGAGAAATACTTGGCCCCAGGACTTCTTGACCATGGGGAAGAAAATGAGTATATATTCGCTGTTTTATTATAATACTGCAAAGCCTTAACGTTATATATGGACAGGATAACATGAGTGGACCAGTCTGTCAGCCTTAGCTACTGCTCACATATATGATAACGTAGGTCTTACTCAGGGGCCACCGTCACTGGAGAATTTTACATTCTACATGGATGTGGATATTGGACCATTTCTATCATCTATTAATTTGGGGGAGATTAGTTTGGGGAAGAGGAATAGACTGTGTTTAGCTTTTTGTAAGATAAACATGAGTGTTTTCTTAACAAACGTTCAAACAATAAACATGCATGCAATGGTGAATTTGGTTTGGCCAGTCATTTGTCTCCTCTAACACAATTGTGTGTGGTTAGCTTCTTTTCAGAGAAATCGCGTGGAAGAGTTTGATTTACTTTTTAAAAAAATCAGGCTTAAGAAGGTGAATTTCATGAGCCTGATGGTTGAACCTTCATCTGTGTTGCAGCCAGTGGGAACAGAGCTGAAGCCAGCTGCAGTGGGGAAATAGGAATCAGAAAAAAAGCTTTACTCCCAGTTCGCTACCTTTGTGTACTTGCTTGGTGTGCAGTTTCTCTTCTGCACACTGAGCGAGTATTCTGTCCATCACTGAACAGTTATCTGTCTGTCACTCTATTCTCCCTAAATATGTGAGCTTTTCTCAACTCTGATTTTTAAAATATCAGCAATAAATCCAGAAGTCTTAGAGGCAAAGACTGACTGTTTGTATTACATACAAATTTAAAACTTTTACATGGCAAAAAAAAATGGCACAAGTAGTGTTAAAAGATAAATTGCAAACTAATAAAAAATGCAATCTATATGACAAACTGAAAAATATGTGAAATATGAGAAAAATTAACAAAAAATTAAATTCAGACTTTAAAAGGTGATTGTTTATGTATGATAGGTAGATGGATACTAAGAAGGTTGATCATGTATACTGTTTAAGTGGGTGTGGAGAGACAGATGCTCTCATGTACTGATGGTGAGAACAAATAAATACAGTCTTTGAGGAGAGCAATTTGGCAACATGGGACTAAAGCCTAAAAGTGACCCATTTTGAAACTGGACCCCAAAATCAAGTCTGTCACTGCCTGTCACTACTGAGCCAATAAGCAGAGACAAGGTTCAATCATTTATGAGTGGTTTTTTATATTGCCAGCAATATGGAGTGAGCAGCAGGGATGGCACCCTGGAAGAAAACTACTCCCTCACATTTCGTTTCAAACAAACTGTCATATAGGGTTAGTGGGTGGGAGAAAATCTAAATTTAGTGAGTTCCAAGGGGCTGCCTTCTTTCATTACCCTTGCAAAGATTAGCCCCAGAATGCCGCCTCCCTACAAAAAAGTTCTGTCCTTGATCTGGGCTCTGGGCTGCATTATATCTGTAGGGCCTGTGCTCCTTGTAACAGGTTCTTCAGTTTCCCAGGGTCTGTAAGAAAATATGTTTGTATTGACATTTTTAAATTGGGGTTAACACCCACCAAATGTTAAAAGTGGTTTCCTGCAGGTGATAGAATTATGGGTGATTTTCATATAATCTGTTTACCATCGTATAATTTCTAATTTTTTACAATAAGAATATTTTGGTTTTATGTGCAGGAAAAATACAACACTATTTCCATTTTAAAGAGAGTAAGTAAGTGCCAATAGCTTTCTTGCCTGCAGTGGTTTTTCCTATTCCTCTGAATGGCTGACCCTACTGTACTCTGTTTTCTAATCCCCCTGAATACATATGTCACTCCTTAAATTTTTTCTAATGCAAAATTTGGTTTCATTTTAGTTTCATGTTTTTGTTTTTCTCATGTAGACTGGCATAATTCTTGATTTCTCCTTGCCCCTAAATCTTCCTCCTCCACCCCCAAATATCTCCAAGTTTTATTCTCTATACTTCAGACGTGGCTCTCAGTCTCGGGGTCCTCGTTGTGTCCATCTTAACCTGAACTATTGGTATTTCTCTCCGGATCTATGTAGTATTTTATTATGTGGCCTCCTTAGAGGAAGCTGTCAAGTATCTTCCTAAAACTAAATATGACTCTGTCACTCCTTTGCATTTAATAACTTACAAGATTATACGTGCACCCTTATGTTGACATGAAAAGCCCTTTACAGTGGCCCCTCTTTCTGTTCCCCCCGACCTCTGTCCCAGCACTCAGCTTCTTAGTATTCCTAGAATAAATCTTTCTCTCATGGCCCTTTCTTCTGCACACTCTCGCTCTTCCTGTGCTTCTCTCCCATCCAACATCTTTTCTGGCACCCGGTTCAAATACTGTTTCCTTTGGGCAGCCCCCTCTGATCCCTCTAGGGGGAGTCACAGGGCCTCCTTTTTTGTACCTTCTTGTTGCATTATACTGAAATATTTCTGGTTGTGTACTAGCCTCCCCAGCCCCCCACCCCAGCAAAGACAGGGAGCTACTTATTTTGAGCAATTCTATATTCTGGCTCATGGAAGACCCTCAAGTGTTCACTGCACATATGTCAGATGCATTTCCCACTCTGACTTTTCATTTGAGCAACATCTTGTGTTTAATCATTTGATCTTTTGAACTTCCAGTACTGAGCAAGAATTCTGATCCTTTCTGTGTACTTTTCTTCCTTAGGCTTCAGATGATGAGTCTTACATCAGCGATGTGAGTGATAATATATCTGAAGACAACACCAGTGTTGCGGACAACATTTCTCGGCAAAGTATGCATCCTTTGAGTTGCCAGGTGGCTATGTCTGCATGCCAATTACAGTGCTGGTGTTTCAATGAACAATCATGACCTCCCACACTAATTATTCCTTTTACAGCTGAATGTTCTGTAGATTTTATACTTATATAATGTGCTGAGGTAAATGGTTCAAAAGATCTGTTAGATAAATGGTTGTGAAAAGGTTTTATTTCCTGCTTAAGCCAAAATTTTGAGTCCTGATTAAACATACTTAATTTTTAAAATTTGACTTTTTTCTTGGATATTTTAGTATATTTAACACCCTATTTGAAAACCTTTACACTAATATTTTGTGCATTTATTAGCAACCTTGAATTGACCTAATTCCATTCATTCTTGAGGGAGTGTCATAATCGGAATTATTTGAAAGGGTTATTTCCCTCCTGGGTTTTAGAAATCAGAAAAGCAAAGTGTCTTTCATTCTGATTCTCATCTTTCACCTGCTTTCAGTCTTGAATGGGGAGCTTACAGGAGGGGCCTTCCGAAATGGGCGTCGAACGTGCCTGCCAGCTCCCTGTCCTGACACCAGTAACATTAACCTGTGGAATATCTTGAGGAACAACATTGGCAAAGACCTGTCTAAGGTGTCTATGCCTGTGGAGCTAAACGAGCCGCTCAACACTCTGCAGCACCTGTGCGAGGAAATGGAATACAGCGAGCTTCTGGACAAGGCTTCAGAAACCGACGACCCCTATGAGCGCATGGTAAGAAATAAGAGAGCGGCGCTCCACTGGCTTTCTCAGCCCTGGGCCTGGGCTAAGGCATAATTCATTATGATGGCACACTTGGTTTTTGCATAACCTTGTCACTTGCATGGGTAAGAGAGGAATTGGTCCATTTGCATAAATTCTGCTAGAAGATACACACTTTGTGACTTATGCTTGGTTGAGAGTGTTTCTGAATTCTGATGTAAAGGTATCACTCTTCATGCAGGTGGAAGGCATGCCTAGCCTTGCTTTATTAACTTTTCCTGAATGCCAAGAAAGCCCATTTGTTTGGGAACTTAGGCCTGAGAACAAGACTTAGGTCCTGTTTGTGCTTTGCCCTGGCCTCTACTCCACATGACTGTTGAAAACTTGACTTGCCCTCAGAAAAGGAGCGACAGCTACAACCCTTGTGCACATGGTGCGAAGACTGTGCAAACTGCATAACCTATAAACTGGGCTTCAGAAACTTTGAACTTGTGATACTCAGGAAATTGGGTGGAGAGATGAATGAAAAATACATGGCCTCAATTGCCTGCTGCTTCCCATGAGAGGAGATTAACCTCATTTTCACTTACCTTTTTCCCCCCATGAGTGTGTGAAGAGTCTGCGCAAATAATAGAAAATGCCATCCAGCCAGCACCCACTGACCAGGGTTGGGGGTGTGTGTAAAATCTAGAAGTACAGGGACAAACAGACCTGGAAGTAGTCTCTCCTATATTATTTTCCTTTCTTAAATGTTTTAACAGGTTCTTATTGCTGCATTTGCAGTTTCAGGATATTGCTCCACCTATTTCAGAGCAGGAAGTAAGCCATTCAACCCTGTCCTTGGGGAGACTTATGAATGCATTAGAGAGGACAAGGGATTCCGCTTTTTCTCAGAGCAGGTAAGTCCCACTGCACTCAGGGACGTTTCTGTGTAGGTAGCTAGGCAGTCTGATGATGAAAATATTTTGTGAACCTTTGTTTGGGGTGAGTTATACCAGTTAACGGACAACTCACTTAGTTTATCTATATAATTGCCCCCTGTAAATATATATATATGTTCTCTGTGTTTAAACAGGAAGTCTTAAAAGTTAAAGATTCAGTAATTTACTTGTACATTTTGAGAATAACTCACTAACAGAGATGGATGAGCTGAGTAGTTTTTATTTGGCAGTAGCCAGTATATGTTGTAGAAAAGTTATTGTTTATTGAAGTTTTAACACTGATCTCATTGCTTTCTGTTTTGTTTTTAATTACCAGGTTAGCCATCATCCACCCATTTCTGCCTGTCACTGTGAATCCAAGAATTTTGTGTTTTGGCAAGGTTTGTTTTTCAATTACAACTTAAAAATCAAATTGAGTATCCTTTAAAACAATTTCTAGTTTCCAAAATTAGAGCTCAGTTTACATTTCTACCTTTGGAACTTGGAGAATGTTTCTAATTGGTGCAGAGTTCCGTTTGAGAAATTAGATTTTCTGGTTTAAATACTAAACCATGTATGTTATCTAGGAGATGAGATTGTTTAGGAAGCAAGCCCTGTGGAACAGCAAAGCCCCAAGCTGACTGTGCCAGCTCAGGGCTATCATTTTACCTCATTGTGTCACATTGTCTGTATCTATAACATGGAGATTTCATCTGCTGTCTTCTTGCTTCCTGAGGGTGTGCAAATATATCTTGATCCTGAAGGAAGGCTCTATGGCACATCACCAGTGGTAACAGTCTATTAAATATATAAATATTGCAGTGATTTCTGGTTAAGTCATTGAAGGGTTTGAATTGAAGTCTGTTTAAATCAGTGCCTATTGTTCAGTCAGAATGTCACAAACTTGCCTAAAATAAAGTGTTTCAAAATCCCTTTAGAAAGAATATATAATATTAAGTATAAACAGTTCCTTTATGTTTGGAAGGGTGCTTCATTTGCTTCTCATATACACTTGTCTCAGCCTGAAAACACACAGAATGATAGAGCACTGTAACTGCACTTTATTGCAAATAAGAAAATATATAATTTCTTGGTCATAACAAAGAGTCAGAAATTTGGTGGAGGCAGCACTAAGCCCCACTATTTCATCAAAATGGGACCAAGTGGTTATTATGGATGCACAGGTAAACCTGAGTTTCCACAGTCAAACAAAGTTATCACCTGAGATAAAGTGCTGGGCCCTGGGTGGTACCTTAATCAGTGTAGGAACATATTCATTAAGTTAATCTCACTTTCTCATAATCTTACCTATCTGTATTTAGGGGTTTTATTTTTGTACTTTTCTCCCAAATCATATAACTCTTCAAATAAATGTATATGTAAATCCATACTGCAATTAATTTTGCTATAACCTCATTTATATATATGTGTGTGTGTGTGTGTGTGTATATATATATATATATATATATATATATATATATATATATATAAACTATTTCCACTATCTAGTTAAAACTTATAACAACATTTATCTAGACATTAAAGTGTAGTAAAATATACAGGGGTGGGCAAAAGTAGGTTAAATTACCAGCCATCATTACCTAAAAGATAAATCATAAGTAGATTCAAAAATAATAATAAGAAAAATAATACAAAAAATGATACAATTAATAAATAATAATACAAAAATAAACTCATTTCCTCACAACTGTAAACCTACTTTTGCCCACCCCTGTATGTGTATGTGTAGACTGACACATTCACACACATATTATTCCAGGCTTTCCCCAGTTTTATTAGTTGAAAACAAATATGAAACATGTATTATGGAGAAATATAGATAGTAAATTTTTTTGGTTTACAGTTCATCTTTTCACTTTGGGCCATCCTCCGGCACTTGTCATGTTAAATCAGCAATATAGAATCAATTGTAATTACAGAAGTTCTTTGTAAAATGTAGAGTGTAATACAAAAGTTAGTTTTTATGGAATAAATCGTTAGACCTGGAGTATATATTTCTTGTCCTCTGCCTGTGTCATTTAGATATCAGATGGAAAAACAAGTTCTGGGGGAAGTCGATGGAAATCCTGCCTGTGGGAACACTGAATGTCATGCTTCCAAAGTAGGTTTCTCCTTTTGTCCTTTTGGTCACTTCACTGCTTTTCAAAATCAGAAATGGGTATTTGAAACCCTAGAAGGTACCAAGGGTCTATTTTCCTGTATGGCCAAAACATCTGTTAACTTGACCAAAGTTTTGAGAATGTTCTCCCACAAAAGCAAGTGAGAACTTTAGCATATGCATTAAGCTTCCCACTTATCTCTCCGCATCCCCCATTCACCCGTCAGCACCAGGCGCCCACCTGTCCCCGTCGCCGTGTTAGTTTGAATTTTATAGAAAGAGCCTCTTTTTGACCAATTCTTTTTCCGTACAATTTATGGTTTCACTTTGAGTCAGTCTTCGATCCAGGGACTATTTTTAATTTCTAAGTTATTTTATTAAGGAAGAGTGATAGAACCCTTTTATGGCTGATTTCTAAAGAATAGAACCTTTAAATCTTTTCAAATTAAGTGAAGTTTTCATTGAAGCCAAAGGCTTCATTAGTTTTGTTTCTACAAACTCATGAGAAAGAAAGAATTTCCCCAGTGGTATATAGCTCCTGCATCATACCAATTCATAATTTTTAGAAGCATTTTTTATTTTGAAGTTAACATTTTATTTGAAAATATGCATAGCATGCAAATGTGATCTGAAGCTATGCCACCTCGTTCCTTGGCAGAAAATCTGCATCCTTACTCCCTGGAGTTTGCATTACATATGTGCCGTCTTAGTTACGCACATAAGCCTTTGCCCAAAGAATCATTCGCAGCTTTGGTGTTAACTCAGAAAAGGAAACAGTTCCTCAGAGTAATCTTTCTTAAATGCATGCCCTGTCTGCCCCTCTGTTTGCTGGAACCCCTCAGTGGCCCGTCGCCTGCAGGGTAAATCCAGACTCATTGCCATGTCTGGGGGCTTCCTTGCTCTGCCCCCCACACCCGCCCACCTGTTGCACAGCACTCCCCTGTCCCCGGGTGCGCGGCGCTCTCGGCTTCTGATGCTTTTCCCCAGGCTCCTCTAGCAAGTCTTTCTTGACACTCACCCCACATTGCAGGCAGATCTAAGGACTAAGGACTCCCCCTGTGTTCTCACGTTGCTTCCTCATCGTATCTCCTTGTAAGTATTTGTTGACATGTCCATCTGTCCCTATCATACTGTTGGCCCCAGGAGAGCAAGAAACAGGCCCTATTCAACTTTGTAGTTTTAGCTCCTGGCCCATGAAAAGCACTGACTTGCTCCTTAAATGAGTGAATCATGTCATAAATGTCCTTGAACACATAGGAACTTTCAACAAAGAAATGAGAAGAAAATGAGGGAAAAGGAAGCTTTGGCCAAAGAATAGTCTCATTAGTAGAAACAGTAATATACATGTGTGACTTTCATTGTCTTAAATCAATGTTGTATTCTTTACTAGGTATGGAGATTGCTACGTGTGGAATAAAGTCACCACGTGCATACACAACATTCTCAGTGGCAGGAGATGGATAGAGCATTATGGAGAAGTAACCATTAGAAATACCAAAAGCAGTGTTTGCATTTGCAAACTCACATTTGTCAAGGTAAATAATATCTTACAACAGTAAAAAATAATAGTAACACAACTTGCTTCCTCTAAGGAAGAAATAAAACAATTACCTTAAACAGCCTTAAATAGTCTCTCTTGTATCATTGACGCATAAGAGCATTGCAGGCAGGAAAGCAAACCAGCTGATGACGTTACTCAGGCATGCAGGCTTCTGAGTGTGTGGCGGTTCGAAATAGCACCATCTCAAAACAGAAAAAAAGAATCCTTCTCAAAGGATTTCCTTTTTAGCAGCCCATCATTCATTAAGTAAAATTTCAGAAAACACTTCCTCCCTGTACCAAGTCTTCTAGTTTCTATTTCTGTTTTTGCCTATAGCAAGTCTTCTGGTTTCTATTCCTATTTCTATTCTTGCCTGATTATAGCATATTCAAGTCATCTATTTTCGGGACCTAGTTATAATGCAGTTGTCTGTTTCTGAGGATGCATATAGGTGGCAGCTTCCAGTTACTATAAGCTTACCCAACTCTGCCACTGTTATAATCCACATAAATTCAAGAAAATCATTACCTTTATTAACAAGAAAAGATGTCTGGGATAGAAGTGCCTACAGAACACCATTTTCCCTAGTCTCTGCTCGCAAGTGGAACACAGGGTGCCCACCGTGTTTGTTTAGGGTGCTGCAGAATTCATGGTCCAGAAACTCCACCCACCCTCTTATCTCTTCTAGTCCTGATCTCATTCTAATACCGTAGAAACAGGTAACATAATTGGAGCCTTAATACTCAAAATTTTCTCTTCCAGTCATGTTTGTTGTAATTGAATATATTTATTTTAGTTCAAAATGGTTTTCTTTTCTTTTTTAAATAGATCCATTAGGTGGTTCAGAACTGAAGAGCCAGGATCACTATTTGCTCTGACTGAGTGATGACAGTAAATGTATACATTTAGTTTGGTAGGCTGTGGGAAACTTTGATTTAGGTCTGCCCCTGATACATGCAGAACTCACGGCAAGAGTCCAAATGGAAGCCCCTCTGCCATCTGTGTAAATATTTGAAATATGTAAATCAAGCCTACAACCTGTCAGATAAAATATGTTCTATATTTTTACCCTGACAAATATATACCTTTTATAACAAAGCTGGCAAGGCCAGGTTGGACACTTTGGAGCTCGAGCTGCAGGCAAGGCCAGGTTGGACACTTTGGAGCTCGAGCTGTACGGGAGAGCCAGTCCTGGCCCAGGCCTCCCCCACCTACTTGCCACTTGCAGCTCTGCCCCACACTGCAGGGGCCTCACATGCATGTAGAAGATGCAGCCCCACATCCAAGCTCTCTCCCCACCCCCTCAAACAGCCAGCTCAGGCCTAAAGAGTCACACACTGGTGGGTCGTCTGCCTTTCTGTGGATGAATCCAAAGCAAAGGCTTGTGAAGACTGTGGATAAGCTTAGAGCTGTGTGGACAGGAACTATAGGGCCCTGCATACTTGAGTCCTGATCTAAGTGGAGCCATGGAATCTGGATGGGTAAATTCCCACAGACTTCACACCCTTTAGGGAGGAGCATGGCTGGAAGAAGCCAGAGCAGGGTCCTCATGATAAAATTTAGCCATGTACAGAGACTGCAAAAAATATTTCACAAAACTACTTCCATAGCATTGCCAACTGAAAATCATTCAAATCCATGAGCAAAAGGAAAATTCAAGACAGGAGGATCTGAGGAAGAAATTATTAATGTTAATATTCAGTTGAGATAGAAACTGGGCCTTTTCTGTATCATATGACCATGCAATTTCATGTAGTAGAGAGCATCCCTTTCTTTAAAGTTAAGAAAGCCACCCTTCCATACAAAGCATCCTGAGATAGAATTCTAGAAATGATTTGAATGAGAAACTTCAAGGTTAAAATCTTCCATATGGGAATTACAGGGATTGGTTTTATTAAGGGGATCCAGTGTTTTCATTGGGGTTTGGTTTTTCCAGGTGAATTATTGGAATTCCAATGTGAATGAAGTCCAGGGGGTTGTGATGGATCAGGAGGGGAAGGTGGTGCACCGGCTGTTTGGGAAATGGCATGAAGGGCTCTACTGTGGCGTGGCCCCTTCTGCAAAGTGCATCTGGAGACCAGGTGAGACCTGCAGAAGTGTCCTGCCTCAGGAGGCCACCCTGAGTGAAGTGACAGAGGGAGGGAATGTGAGATCATCCCATGTAGTCCACCTTGTATTTTCTTTAATAATGAGGTTAAAAACCTAGATGCTAAGGCAATTGTAGTTATATTTGTACTTAATATGTAAATTACATGAGTCCCAATGTTTGTTAATGAGTTATAAAATTTAGGCCAAATCTGACAAGTGGGCTCCATGTAAAATCACTCTAAATGCCTGCATTTTAATGCCTACATTTTAAGCTAGGTATATTTATTATAGAGCTTAGTTAATTGAAATACACAAACTCGAATCCTTACTCATGTTATTTATTCTGTTTTAATAAAACAAAGGAAAGCCTATAAACATCTATAATCCACAAATTTAATAACTTACTAGAATAAGTGGTCCTTTTTACTTGAGCAACAAAAAGCTGCAGTATGTTGACATTTAATAAAACACATCAAGGGAGCTCTTTTGATACACTAGCATATAACTGAATATCAAGTATAAATGGAACAAGTCTCCATGTGACATTTATGTTCATTGGAATGTTGTCAGTTAAGCCCTCACTTTAAAATAGTTGTTAGTTTCTTAAGCAACCCCAGCGTGTATGTAAATTTCCTGCTAGTGGAGTGGTTAGTTCATTCTGCAGTTATTTATTGAGAACTGACTGTGCATCAGGCTTTGCTCTGAGAGCTTGGAATCCACCATCAAAGAGCAAAGCATATAAAGATTCTGTCTTTGAGTTTAGTTAAAAGGGGTCAATAAATATTAATTTTGATCTGCATCTTTCTCTTTTCTAAAAGGATGTAAAGTGCTTCTGGTGAAACCTTAATGTTCATAGCTAATCATCCTGGCATTTAGTTACCTAACTGAATATTTGAGAGAAAAATTATGGTGTAGTTTAGCCAGTGAAGACTACTATATGTTTAATTTTAAAGGCTGGATTTTATTAAATATATGCATCTATCAGTTCTGATCATCAACATAAAATTTCCCATCCAGCAAAATAAACCAATTTAAGTCACTTGGAAAAAAAGTATCATCTAATGTTTATGACGACAAATTTGCTAGTAGTCTGGGTATTAAACACCAGGGTTAAGTCAAGTCAGCTTCTGCAAGTGTCTTAAACCTCTTTGCCTCTCATGATGGTTTGTTGGCCTCATTCCAGGTTCCTTGCCAACCAACTATGAGCTCTACTATGGCTTCACAAGGTTTGCTATTGAGCTCAATGAGTTAGATCCTGTCCTAAAAGATCTCCTCCCACCGACAGACGCCCGGTTCCGGCCAGATCAAAGGTGAGCATAGCAGTGGTATTTAAAATGGACACTAGAGCCCAAACAGTATGGTAAATTGGTTGAGGTGTGGACCCATGCACCAGAAGGTCACCAGTTTGATTCCTGGTCAGGGCATGTGCCCAGGTTTGGGGCTTGATCCCCAGCAAGAGGCAGCCGATCCATGTTGATGTTTCTATCTCTCTCCCCCCATCCCTTCCTCTCTCTCTAAATCAATAAAAACACATTTTAAAAATAAACAAAATGGACACCAGATTATAGCACATCACTACATGTGTCATCAAGACTTACTTTCACCACAGTCATCTATTTATTTATTGAATCATTCACTCCCTTATTTACTCAGAAATAGTGGCGTTTTCTACCCTGGGTAAAACAGCGTTCATAGGATGATCAGAACAGAAGATTAGCTCAACAAAGTTTCCCACAGAAGATAACACAGATGATTTTTAACAAAAAGTTTCCCCTCTCACCCCCAAAGTTACCAAAAGTCTGCAAATTTATGAGTCTTCCCTCCACTAAATACATAATCACTCCATGCCCAGCGTTTGTACCTTTTTACTTCTATTACTCTGGAGCGTAGAGTATCTTTTAAACTGGGGAATGAGATACTGAGTTACAGGGACACCTAGAAATGCTTTTAGTCAAAGTCTGGGGTTCACCCAACGTGCTTTGGATCCCACAGGGTTTGAGATGTACCTAAAGTACAGTACCTTTAATTCCTCCTGATTTGTAATTTTTATTATTCTTACATAGTACTGTACTCGGGGTGCCCATTCCTACAGAACTGATTTTACTTTCTCCAAAGCCTTTATATGCCATACAAATTCCATCCGAGATCATTTTCTGTTTCCAGTGTATTTGTGGCTTTATCTGCCTTTTGCCAAAGTGTTCCCAGTATTGAATGTTCTGCTCTTCAGCTCCCTTATATTCCCCCCTCTCTCTAGAACACGCAGTCTCACTGTTTGACCTTCACATTATCAGTAAGCCTCCTGTACAGTGTGTATAATACTGTATCTCTCTTCTTTGCTCTCATTTTGAAATTTAAATATTTGCAAATCATCATTGGGGCTGCTTTTTCTTTCTCAATTCTGTTTTCTATTTCCTTTCTGAATTTCATTTTACAATGCATTTCCTTTCTGTAGCTTTTTGTAATTTTGCCCATCTGTTACCTTTTCTTTTCTTCACCAGTTTTACTCTCTCCCATAAAACAGGAGAAAACTCCTTCCCTCTCAATCTGTTCTAAAAGTAGGTGGAGACCCGCCAGTTACCATCTGCCATTCTGTGGCCTTCGGCAAATGCTTTTTGATCCTATGGAAAAGGAGCACCACCTAGGACTCCACTCTGTGCTGTTCTAACCCAGACTCTTCAGTCGCCCTGAAGATCTCAAGCTGTAGAACCCTAGACAGCACAGAAAAGTCTTCAAGGGCAAACCACCCCCCTTTCACGCCTGCCGGCGTGCTGCCCCGTGCAGCAGTTCAGTTCACACACACAGAAAGTGTGCTCACTGATGGCAGGCAGGGAGTGTGCCGGGAGCAGGGCGGAGGGATGCTGTCCGAGTGTTACTGTTCACAGGAACCAGAATGTAATTTTATGCAAATGAGATTTTTTTTTTTTTTAATTAGAAAAGAGGATGATATATTAAAAGATTAACTGCTTTCTGCTTAGGTTTTTGGAAGAAGGAAACCTGGAAGCGGCAGCAGCAGAGAAGCAAAGGGTAGAGGAACTCCAGAGATCTCGAAGGCGGTACATGGAAGAAAACAACCTTGAACATATACCAAAATTTTTTAAGTAAGTCAATTCATTCCTCTAATAAGATCAGGTTGTCGAATGGTTGCTGCAAGCAATGAGGAACTCCATCTAAAAAGAAAATGAGGGATAGTTTAGTGTCCCGGGAATGGAAAGGTGGAAAAATTAAACCGATTTCAGTAAGTGGTTTTGGCAGTGAAAACACTGAATCAGATTTTGCACTTGTGAAAAGCTTTTGTAAGCATAAAAGTAATTTTTTCTCGACAGCTCTTTTCTTTTCATGAGCAGCAAAAGGGAGTGAGGGTCTTGCCCAGAGGGCTCTCTGTCCTTCAGCTCCACCCTTTGAAATGGTGGAAACATGTTCCCACTCCCTCGCTCAGAGGCGAGATGGGAGCCCTCTGCCCACAAGGCCATCCTGGCTGCATTAGTCTTTAATTTTATTTCTGGCACACGGGGCTTGTGTCCGCTCAGATTTGTTCCCTCTGTGACATGATCGTGGGTGATTATTATAGGATTATTTGTAGGATTATGTATCCATCACACAGATTAAACTGTAGTTTCCAGGCCCATCTGTTGCCCTTGGGAGTCAGGACAGATCAACTCAGAATAACCTCATATCCCTTATAGTGGGGGTCTCATGACTGCCCAGGGGAAGAGTGCAGCCTTGCCCTTGAGATGTCCACAAGGGCCCCGCAGAGACTCAGAGCTGCCAGGGCTGCATACTTTCCCCACGAGGGAGGCAGAGACTATCCTTGTGGGTCTGGGCCTGCAGCTCTTACAGTATTTGTAGTACATGGTTTGTTTGGGGCACTTCACTTTCTAGCTCTGCCTGGAGGGGATTGTTCCCTGTCCTCGGCCCCTCTCTTCAGGATCCTACCCACCTCCATTTCAGATGTTTAACAACAAAAATGAGTTCATTTCTGGTCAAAAATAGCCATCATCACTAAGCAGGTAGGACACTAACTGGCTCACCAAGGACTGCTTATACGTCTTGTCTGCAGGAGAGGGTCCAACGATCAGGTCACGTTGGTGTGATTTGTGTCTAACGTTGATTTTTCTGTTTTCATAGAAAAGTGCTCGATGCCAATCAAAGAGAAGCCTGGGTTTCCAACGACACCTACTGGGAGCTGCGAAAGGACCCCGGGTTTAGCAAAGTAGACAGCCCTGTTCTTTGGTAACCTGGGAGTGTGGAGCCAGCCGGCACAGCACGCTCTGGATGAGTTACTAACTATGCACAACCCTGTTTCTTAGAGCTCCGCGTGGTTTCTGGTTGACTGGCCGCCGGCCGTTTGCTTTTCTATTCATCGTTATGATGGGCTTTCAGAAGTGCATTAGACGAGGCCCCTAGCCACTTTGGGATCCTTTCTGTTTTGCTGCAACCATGTTCCTTAAAAAAAAGAAAAGCATCCATACCCTCCTTGGAAAGAAGAATTAAAGGAGCAGAATGTAAAATCCAGAGTCTGACAAGTTTATAGAGAAAAACGAACTGTCACTGGTGCTTCAAGCCGATCCGGAGAGTTGAAAGCGGTGTGACGTGAACCACGCGTTTGGTCCTGTTCCCTGACAGCACCGTCCCCTCGTCGTCGGAGCTCCGGGAGCCGGCTGGGACCTGGAGCGCGTGTTTGGTGTGTACACTTGTGCCGGCCTTGTCAGTGAAGACGTGCTGCTTCTCAGCCCCTGTCCCATCTGTACGCCATTGTTCATGCCTTAAGAAATGCAAAGATGTACAATAAATCATTTTTTTAATGTGTGCTCATAGGTTTATGTGAAGGACAGATCTTTTGAATCATGGCATGATTCACTTTCCGGGATCAGAACGATTATGAGTCTAACTTAAGTGGATTTAAAAAAGTAAACAACATGTGCTTTACTTTGGTATGTTGGTGACTATATCGTATGTCCGAAGGGCAAGAAGGAAACGGTGTGCCAGGCAGATTTCCGTGTTCGCATTGCTTGTCCGGCCCCTGTCCTGCGTCCAGATAATAAACCATCCCTCTTCTACCTAACCTCACAGTGTGCCCTGTTATTTGGTGGTATCTGTTTGATTTGAACACTTGGCATCAATGTTGAAACCTTGGAAGGAAAAAAAAGCAGGTGGGATTTCTGGGTGGGCTTAGGAGTACTGTAAACGTAACTGTTTTTGAATGAAGCACAATGTAATCCACATTACTATCCTATGCCCAGCCCATTGGCACCAGTGGAAATCCCACTGGGAACAGAAGCAAGAACGCTAGTAGCTTATTTGTATTGTTTAAATGAGTTCTATGCAATATCATATTTTACATTTTCATCAAGTGACTCTGTATGATACATGACCATATATTAAGCATTTTCCTTGCGGTTGGCAGAGATACAAAACTTAAGCTAAGGAGTTTATACATTCCAGCAAAAAGAAGGGGCAGAAATGTGTTTTGCATACTTCAGGATTTTTTTCCTCCAATATAACAGAGGCTTTTGTAGGAAACTTGCATCAGTAATTCTGAGTTTCTGCACGCAGATGACTATATAAATGCTTGTATGTTTTTAAAAAATCTCTCAAGAGATTAATTATAAAATGACATATATTTTATTCTTAGTTAGGATTTTATTCTAGGTTCTTAACCATGAGACTTTAAGTGTTATTTTAAACTCTGATAACAAGGTTGCTGACATTTTACATTTTGTTAGGAGGTGTTGATTTTAGTGTTATTTCTCAGCAAAGCTTTCCTAATAACGGCTAATCCACTATCAAATCTAAACTGCGTATGAGAGCATAAGGCAAACTCTGAAGTTTCTACCAGGTGGAGCAAAATCTGTTATCCTAAAACATCCCTCCTTTGACCTGGGGCCCTATGTGTTGTGTGCAGTATGCATTGGTTTAGAATGAAACTCCATTTTCAGGTAAATTCCGTTGCCAGATCTAAGTGTTCCATTTAAGCAACACCTTCCCTAGGTTTCTCAATGCCTTTCAAGTCTCACTTTAATCTATAGGTGGCTTGCCCCGTGGTAGTAAAATTTTCCCCTTGTTATCTACTTTTCTGCTCATTCATCTTGACTCCACTTTATCTGCATCTTGAGATACATGCCTATAATTTTAATTGGAATTCTATTAACTTCCTCATAAAAGTCTGTTCTCTACCAACTGGTAAAGCTTTAAATACCATCTAGAGTGGTTCTGGTCTGTAGTTACTAGCACTTCCCTGAACAGTCTAAAGATACAGTGTTCCAAGTAGATAAGTCATAAGGTGAGGCATCAGTTACCAATGGATCTGGTATCAGTCAGGCAGCTGGGAGAGGACCCAGGACCCATCAGGGAAGCAACTACCATTTGGGTTGTAATTGAGGAAGCGAATAACTAGTAGAGAGGACCTTTACTAGATGAGTTCAAGCCACAAATCAGATGAGTGAATGTTGGTTAGAGCTAACCTGAAACTCTAATTAGGATTTTAAGATGAGAATGAAAGAATGCCAAGTGAATTAAAATCACATTTTATAATATCCCAGATTTAGAATCTCTTGAAATTCACACTTCTTGATTAGATTTCCAATTCAAGTGATCAATTAAATTTTAGAGAATACTCCTCTAATGCCAGATTCACAAATCTCCCCTCAAATATTCATAATGTAATGGTTTTCAGCTCCCATTTTATTTTATTTCTGATTGGTAGGGTGGTTATAGAATTGTGAGACTTACTCTATTGGGAATTTTTCATCTGCAAAATTTTGGGGCTTTTGAGACTAAACAGCAAAAGGATAGAATAAATATTAGATCACTCTTGATAAAACCTGATCTAATTTTACATGTCTTCATTTCAGGGGTACTTTTCTTACTTGTTTCTCCCTAAAACAATTTAGGATAGAAGAGGAGTTGATATAGCTTATCCCTGCCCCATGATTTATTCAGAAGCTCCTTCATCTCTGAGCTGGTCATAAGGAAAGCAGTAAGAAGGGACGTTGGTCCTGTGGATGTGGCATACACCGGCATAGATAGGCACTAATTATTTAGCTTCTGTATGCTGCCACCAGGGTACAATTTACCCTCAGATTTTGCTGTTCTTTCATTGTTTTTTTTAAGTGGTTATTTTTATGGGTTACTTTACCCCATACTTTCCAGGCAACTGTAAAAATAAACCTCATTTGAGATACCTTTTAATATTACATATCAATTATATGTAACAGATAATATCCATTATATGTGACAAAAAAACTACCAAATGTATTTTCTGGGTAAGATAAACCGAGGGATTTTTCAATACGAGAGATGCCAAGTTGTCAATTTTCCAAACCGTTGCTCTTCATAATCCTGGCCCATGCCTTTCAGCGACTCCACTCATCCGTCATTAGATCCTGCCCTAAGGAGCACTGGGGGGCAGGCTTAAAGAGGAAACTGATAAAACTCTTTTTGCTTAGTTCTGGTTACAGCTATGGCTGGAGAAGTGTTTATAATCATAATCTAATGTACATTTTCGTTATTACCCTGTGGATTTTAATTATCCATCTTGTCTAATCTTGTTCTCTGTCATCCTAGACAATGAAGTGTTAGTGGGAGCAGAGCTCCTTACACACCAGAGGGTGTAAAAATGTTTGCACTTGGCTCAAGTTGGTATATTATGAATGTGGCACAGAAAATAAAACGTTTGTGTACAAAATATTTCTTTATTTCTATGGGAGCCATTATGTTCAGGATATATAACATGTATCTAATTAAACAATTATGAATCTATTTTGTGCTCTAGAAATGTTCTTTTGGGGGAAAGATGGAAAAAATGTCATGAGCTAAGATTAAAGTGTTTTGTTTTGGATTTCTTTTGGTGTTTATTTCAGAAGGCTTCCCAGTCATTTAGAATACTGCTTATCAAACTAAAATTAGATCCTGTAAGTTTTAATTTAACTTTCTCTGTAAAATTGCTACATTTAAACTGTACATTGTATGCATCTTTCTGTTATACCTGTCTTTGTTTAACTTTAATACATAATTGTAAGAACATACATTTGTGACTGAATTTTAAGGCCTTGTTGCAGCCTTTGCTGTTAGAGAAAATGGCAAATTGTTTAAGAAAGGGTTGGCTTTAATTATTCCAAAATATGATCTAAAGAAGAACGGATTCTTTAAAAATGGCTGTGATGAACCAGAACGCCCAGCATCTTAAGCAAATGAAGCCCCATGATGAAGGCAGCTTACAGGTGTCAGTCACCTGGGAGTCGAAGGCACCCTTTTGCTTTCCAAACACCTATCTGAATTGGTTGGTTTTCTCCTTTCTTCTGGTCCTAACTTAGTGAGGGGCAGAGATGCACTGTGCCAGTGAGAGTTTCTAACATACGCAGTAATTATGCACAGTTGCAGAGTGATCGATCAATATTGGAACCACTGCATTTAGCCTCCTGTGGAACATTATTAAATGTTCATGGATTAAAAATCACCCCATAATTGCATATTATTAATTTCCTCAGTATCTCCAGAGGGGTAGGAAAAAACATAAAACAAGAATGTCTATTTTCTGCAAATTTATTTTCTATCATGATTTCTTTCTACATAGCATAAATTAAGGCAACTGCAGAGGGGAATATTGAGTTTTCAAAAAACACATAATCTTATTTGAGTTGCACCTGTTCCTTTTTACTTTTAGTTAATAGGGTGACAATTTAATACTGTTAAAGAGAGAATAATGCTAAAACTGCCTTTATCTTAGGCACCAGCTCCCCTCAACTTTCCTCATTCATTTCTTTCTTTGGAGAATGTAGTTGCTAGAAACATTTTAAGTCATTTCAAGCTTATTTGAAAAGCTTTCTTGAGGTGTAAGTGACATACAGTAAGCTTTACATATCTGAACTGTACAACCTGGTAGTTTGACCTAAGTACACACTCTTGACACTGTCACCACAGTCACAGTAGTGAACTATGCATCACCACCAAATAATCTGCCCCTTGGGAATCCCTCCTGCACCCCTCCAACCTCCACCCTGAGGCAATCATTGATCTGCTTTTTTCACCTATTAAAATTTGCATTTAAAAAAAACATACCACAAACAGGGTTTTTCTAGAAGGTTGTGTGCATGTAGGCAGATGAACGCCTCAAAACAACCTGGCCACTACCCCAGTACCCACCAGCAAATAGGAACACGTTACTAGAGAAAGAATGTTAAGTTCTAGTTCTGATAGACCAGTAAAAATTTTTGATTTGAAATACTTAGGAAACAATAACTTCTTTCATATCAAAATGGCCATGTAAGTCAATGAATTCATTCCCATTTATTTGGGCCCAAAAGGATGGTAAGACTGAACCTGCTGGCAGCCTTGAGGAGGCCCTGGGAAGTGTACTTCTTTTGTTTGGGATGAAAGAAGCACAGACAAAACCGTGGGAATCCAGAATGACTGCTCTGGAAACGATGTCATTTTAGTGATGACAAGGAGGGAAGTGTCTATACGGAGTTGTTTATTATTTGCCTCCCAAGCCCCACTTTCTGTCACAAACATTTGAAAGTTCCAGTGCTCCAGAGGCTGCTTGTCCATCTCCTCTGTGCCCTCACCTCCTGTCTGGAAACAAAGTTTCTAAACCTAATTTTGAATCAAAAAGTAGAAAACTTCCCAGACACTGTGAAATACAGCATGATTGACATTAAGTGCCAATGAGGAGAAAAGGCGAGTGAAGGCAAGAAACGGAATCTAGGAGAGGAAAGCGGACTGACGTGGGGCGCGGGCCCTGCTCCCCGGCTGTGCAGGCGGGTCCCAGGGATGGCCCCTGAAGCCTGTTTTCGGGCAGACGGATGCCTCAGCTTCGCTCCGGATTCCGAGGCTAGACCCAGGGCCCCAGCCCCCGCAGTTCAATAAGCGCCTTGGGCCCCCAGGGAATTCTGAAGCAGATGGGGAACCTCCATGCGTGCTCGCTGCCCTAACCACCCCTCCCACCCTCTGCTCCAGCCTTTTGTTTGTTGTCCCCGTAGTGACATCCAGCCGTGGGTAAGAAAGTCTAGGTCAAGAAACTTGCCTAGAGCTCGGGGACTTTGCCACGCGTGGCCACCTGTCCATTTCTGACCGGCCCAGGTGCCAGCGCTGCAACAGGGTGCAGAGGAGGGAGGAGGGGACCCTGAAGCCTAAGCGTGATCGTGCCCGTGTGAAGACGGCTGTAAAAGTGTGTCCTAGAGGCGTCCGAACCAGCCCGGACACCCGAAGCCTACTCCCCAAAGCCAT